AGGGCCTCTGCTTTTAACACGATAGCGTTAAAGAGCTCATTATCTAGAAATTTTGGCGTCCACCTCAGTGTCGTTGGTTGTGAGCGAAGAATCATAATCTTATTCGTGACTGAAAAAGCGAGAACGATGCAAATTAAATAAATGATAAAAAGTTTTGGAGCAGAGTGGGGCCCGAATTTTGCGTGGCAAGTGGCTGTTTCACCACACGGTCATGCCTCTGCGAAAACAGTGAAAAGAACTTCCTCTGCTCGGAAACGCAGTGAAAGTATAGCTTTCATGCTTCACAAACACACGCGTTTTGTATACATGCTTCACAATGCGACATGAAATGTTGCATTAATAATGCGTGATGCAAGCGTCCATTGCCAATGGGGTTCAGAACATGTGATTAGACACTTCTAGTTGTGCGTACGGGGAAGTTGGGTACACTGTAAAAAATCACATAGCGTACGCTGCAAGCGAAGCGTGCGATAATGCTTTCCGTTTAACGTAACTTGATGCGCGTTTCACTCAATTGGATAAACCATACGCGAAATGCAAGGTTTTGGAATGCTTATCAGCGCAACCGACGTTAAAAGTATGCTAGGTCCCAGTTACCGGGTCCCACTAATAACGTGCCTTCTGTGTTCTGCACGAAAAACATCCCGACTGCCAGGGTAAGGGTCACCAGCGTACAAGTCGGGGCGTGGCGTTCGCTGTGCAAATTTTTAGCATTGTTCCTAAGTGCACTGACTTCGCACGTTGCGTGACAATATTTGCTGCTTTGAACTTGGGTGCACAGTGTAAGAACGGCTTCTGATCGGGGGAATGGCGCACTGCACCGACCCCAACGTTCTCTCCAGCGCTGCTGTGGATAAGGCTTAGCGTACCCCACAGCAAGTGGTCCCGTTCGAGGTATTCATGACCTTACATTGTACTACCAGCACATTTAAGGAATGAAAGCTCACACAACGTCCAAGGCGTGTTAAATGAATAAAAGTACGTGCAAGCTGCCGTTTTATTTACGGGTTCATTCGCCGAGAGGCGTGGCAGAAAGAGACGCGATCCCGTACACAAACCATCGAAGGCGATTCTTGAGGATTTTCGTGAGACGCCAGGCAACCTTTTCTCACTCATGAAGATGCCGCAACGCGTCACTTGAATGTACGTTGTCTGCCTTGTCTGGCATGAAAACATCGCCTTTCATTGTGAAGTACACATTCCTTGCAGCATCGGGTCCACTATTACTGTCTGCGTTGAACGCCACTGCAGCCACCATATACTCTCGTTTTACATGCGGAGCATGTTATACTAGGTGCTAGTCACGGGCCGTCGCCGTCCGCAGCCTCTCCTCCTCTTCCGCCAGCCATCTGTGCACCCCTTCCTCCTCTCAACACAGCGCGCGCTGCGCTCCCCTCTCCCCTCCGCGCGCCGTGCGTTGCGTGCGCCAGCTGTATGCTAACGCGCGCATGCGCAGGCCGGGGCCGGCGCTCGCTATAAATAACCGAGTGTCGGGGCGCGCCGAACTTCGTCGGTTAGTTTGTGCGGTCGCTCCACGTCCGATGTCGCTGGTGAAAATGTATGCTAACGAATCCGCATAGACACTTACTGACGTCCCTTCCAACAGCGTCCATCTTGCTCAAAACACCCAAAGCGTCTCATCAATAAACATCGTCTTTCGCAGCATACGTGCGTGCGTGTTCACTCATAACACACACGCATGTCGCAAATTACAAACCACATTTATCGCAGTTCAACATATATGCTCCGCATGCTAACCAGTGTTCCCACTCGGAAAACTGCGGTCTTTTTTTTGTTTCTTTGAGCTCTCGAGAGAACATGCGTTGCGTTACGTGCGCAGCGTTTTGTTATGGGCATACGCGCGCATCTCTGGGATCGATACGTTACCGATACGTTACGTACCGCACATGCGCAATTCTTTCCTACGGCTGTGTTGCGTACGTGGGCTCGTTACGTAGGCGCAACTAAAAGCGTCTATTATAATGGCTCCATGGTTGAAAGCCAGTACCAAACTACAAAAGGCACTTTTCGGCCATTACCTGCGTTATGTACGCGAGTTGATCCTTCTGCAGCATGCATTCACAAACAAGCTGGCGAAACATTAGCGCGTTCGCTCCTGCGCTTACTTTACAGCTGAATGTTTTTATCAACAAGCGAGTGACCCGAGAATTGGGCAACACTGGCGCACTCACGAGTCATGACGGAACTAATATGTAGCAGTGCGAGAGTCTGCATTCAGGCTATAGTGAAGTAGAATATACTCTAGTTTGGTGAACTGGAATATACTCTAGTTCCTTATAATTCAGGCAAATGATAATTGCTTTGCGGTTAACCGCGCACGATATCAAGGCATTTTAGTTTTCTCCAGCTTCGCACTGAAACAGAACGATTTTCTGTGGCTAAAACTTCGGTATAAGACGATGGCTCCGCTGCTTGCTGCACATGACGTCACACATCCCAAGGCAAACCGGCAGGGTTAAGAGATGATGACTACCAGTGACTTGTTTTGCAGCAAAATATTATTTCACAGCCCATTTTTTCAGACATGTACAGCCATAACAGACCCTCCCTCTACTTGTAGTTGGCCCTGGAAATCACAAATTATCAGGTGACAGAGTCATGGTGCACTTAATTAGAACAAACAAAAAAGCCAAGTAAAGTATAGGGAAAATTATTTATAGCAATTATGAGAATGTGAAGTTCATGAATGCCGCTGGCAGGAACCGAACACCTGTGACCTCCGATTGACACACTGATTTCGCCAGCAATATGCTGACTGCATGCAGCGTAAGGCATCAAAGTACGCAGAACAGTCGTGCAGTGAATCCTTTATTCAATCTATGAAGAAAATACTCTATGTACATGCACAAGCAGGTCAACTGTGCCTCTTATGTACAGGAATTCTCCAACAACATAAAGGCAATCTATGCTTTACACTCCTTTCTCACGCTACTTGACAACCGTTCAACAAGGACAGTGGAGTGTAAAAAAACCACAACGCCATCGTATGAACTGTATGCATTCTGCTCAAGACTTTTGAACGCAACTGCTCTACGCATTGTTAGATCTGTCACGCTTTTTTTTTTTCAGCATGCATAGAATCTTTGAAGTACGGTAACGTCTTACTGTGCATGGCATAGACATATACGTTGCAACAAAACATCCCAGTCTCTCACTTCTAACACACACTCGCACTTAATGACCTTCTCAGTAACGGTCTAAAATGTAAAGCCACACACTAACGGCTTCCTCTGAATTTGAACAGCATTCTCAGAACCATTGCTTCTCAAGCACAACTGTATAAATTTCGGCATGACTCCATCATCAAGAAGCACTCCTGGAGAGCTGCACATCTTATGTGTGCAAATACGCACAGAACAATAAAAACACACAATATAGGTATTTGACTCTGATATAGAATTTAAACTAGGCAGACAGTGCATTGCAAAAGCGAAATACAAGGCTGCAAAACGTAACAGATGAAAATATGGCTTTAAAAACAAGTAAAAAAAAGAACATTGTTAGCCATAATACTTGAAACTTTTTTCTTTCAGTGACGCTCACAAAAAAACAAAACAAGGGCCACCATGAGTAAACTAGCAAACCTTACTTTGATCGGCAAGTGACCAAGTCTGCTGCAACAATCTTCAAGGAGTGTAGGTGCTGTTTTTACAAGGAAAATGTGGATGTTTGGCTGCCAGCATCGTAGTAGAAAAAGTGCACATCTCGCTGCCGAATACTAGACCACTAAGTTGAGTGTTTAAGGAATCCACACACTTGGTTTGACACTATACTGATGGTTGCACACACAAACTGGCACAAGGTTGACAAAAGGCCCAGTAAAATACCATGGTCACTACTTTTTGTTCAACGTAGAAAAACTCGCTGGCCTGAATATAAACACTTCCTTGTAGCATAGCCTTGGTCTCGACTTACAATGCAAAAAAAAAAAGCATACCAGAATGCCTTTCTGGCACAGCCAAAAAACCAAAACTTACACACTCTGCTTTGGCAACAACTGCAGCCACACTGCTCAACTGAAGTTGTTTTGAGGGGTATGTTTTCGAAACGACGTGGCAGAAAAGTGGAGCCAGTAATTAACATTGCGCTGAAGTGGCTTTTAAACATCGGAAGGACATAAAAGCTGCTTGCCTTCATTGAAAGAGCCCTTTAAAAAGTGGCCCTCGAAATGTAAGGCTGGTGGTATAGGCACCCAGCAACTCTTAGGCATCCGATGCTCATGTGGTCGAACCAAAACATAAAACTGCCTTTTAAAAAAAAAATCAAACAATTTGTGACAACCTTATGGAGGTCCAGCATGTAAACGTAAGGGAAGAGCTTAGAAAGAGAAAAAAGAAGAACCAGCCAGCCGAAGTGATCAGAAAGTCCAAGAATGGCAACTAGTACACCAATATACCAAAGTCCCAACAAAACTCCACGGATGCCTTTCAACAATCCAATGTACTTCTCTTTTACAGACTTTTGCAAGCCGACTCATACAGGGTGGCCGAAGCTTCTGCATTGACCATGTCCTCACATAATTCTCAATCTTAACTGCACCTAATCAACCAGGACTAAAGCTAACACAAGTGACTGACTGAAATGCTGGGACACTAAATTAGCCTGACGCTTGCCTTTACAGTATTGTGCGACATGAAGTCTATGAACATTGAAGTAGTCAGGTGGCATCAATGCTGAGATGAGTAAAATCTTACCAGCATTCTCCTAAAGGCAAAGCTGAACTTGTTCGATTAACACCAGGATCATACCATGTCGAGAAACTATGTACAGTGAGCGGAACCTTGATAGAAAAGCTTTAATCAGGCTATCAAATCTGCTAGTGGTGCTCGTAAAAACATCCATGAACTCTTAATGAAATGCCACTCTGTGATTGACATTACAGTAGTGCAAGCTCGCTTCTGACCCTGCCTGCAATTGCAATGGATGCTATTCCTTTTGGTAATGCTGTGAGAGCAATAGTATTAGAAAGCAAAGCAAAGCTAGCAGTGCTTCAAATGGTGGCACTCGCACTGTTCCCGACCCATTCACATTGAATGCGTTTCTTCAGAGAAACAAAAAACTGCAAAACTGACTTCAAAACAACTTTCACTTAACATTCGATAGGTCACTGTCTCACCAACAAGTCCAAAAGCAGCTCACTTATGCAACAAGGAGGAGTTCATCACACACCAGCAGAAGTCCCTACGACCGGCTGAAAAGCGCCGGTCTTTTTCGTCACCTCATTCCCCTCGTAAGTAAAGAAATAAAAGAAAACAATGATGCACCAGAAATCACTTGTGGCCCTCAAGCGTTAACAGTGCTTGGGTGGCTATCACGGAGTCGTTGAACCAGCTTTTGGCGGCCAAGCCCACCGAATCCTCCACAGGGGAGGAGTCCATCACTAACAACATTTCTCCGCCAGGCGCAGTGGCAAGTGTGGGCGTGCCAGAAACCACGATGGGCGCACTGGCCCGGATGAGGGCTGTGGCATCGCCAGCGGCAGCGACGGCTGCAGCAGCCGACGTGGGGTCCTGCACCCAGGTCCAGCCACCAGGCACTTCCTGCACAGAGGCCCCAACCTCCAGCGAAAGCGATTCGTCAGGCAGGCACAGCACCAGATTGGCCCCACTTCTGGCCATGGCCTCGGCTGTGCCCTCCAGGCACTGGACAGGCTGCACGAAAGGAAGGCAGTCCCCAAACACTCAAGAATAGTGTTCAAGTACTTGCTAAAACATAAGAGACACTGGCATAGCAGTCAGATGGATTCACGTGACGTCAGCTTGGCGGGCGCGGCGGCGAGAAGTGCACAAGCTGTGCTGGCAACCACGTGGCCACCATTTTGAAGGCCCCCAAACTGGCAGCCAACGGCATACCGGCTGTCGAGTCCGGCGGTTCCAACAGGTGCACACAAGTCAATGCGGGCAACGTTGCTTTTGTTTTATTTCATTTGGATTTAGAAGGTGCTAGATTTACCATTTGTGAAGCTGCTGCAGCCATGGGCTATGCGTTCTCGGCTCGCTTGAGCGTGTACGCCAAGAAATTGGACACCGATGCTAAACAGCAATACACGGACAAGGTGGCTCGCTGCAGTGTGCATTAACCCACTCTTTTTGTAGAGCGAGGAGGCCGCATTTGACACCATATTTGTTTTGAAGGTGGAACTCCGAGACATAACAGACTGCTTGGTGCATATAGGACAAGTTTTGTGACGCACGAACGACTCAAAGCCAAGAAATAGTTGGATACTTGACTAGCGGGTTTGTCCACGAACCTTCGCTGAAAAAGTCATGAGACTGTGTCGCTTTGGGCGCAAAGGTAAGATAATCTGAAGTTATATCTTTAAGCGCTAAAGTTCAGTTTACCCATGAATTTGGTACTAGTGCAATGTTTTACGAATCTGCTTGAAGTGTCAAGCTTAACAGCGCTTACGAATTTGCACGCGAGAACACCATTGCACGGGGCACATTAGATTATGAGAAAGTGCACACGAGACTGAAATTTTGACGACGTTGGCTCACCCACAGCTTTGATCAATCGAATGAAAAGTATCAGAAGCATTAAATTATTCACTTGACCAAGGCACGTGTGCTTTGACGCAAGTGTACTGAGCCAGGTCACTTTACCGAGAAAACAAAAGCGTGTGCCTCCCATTTAAGCTCGCAGTGTACCGCGCATATGAGCGGTATAACATTAAGTACTCCACTGTGTTACTGCCAAGATATTGAAACTGACTGCATTTACTGTGTTATTGTGATCTCTTTATTTTAGTGTTTCGTTCGTATCTGAATTACTCAAGGTTGCCAGAATCTGAACTTGACCGAGTTTCCATTCGCCGATGAACCACTCTCCTGCACTTACCCCGCAGCCTTGTTGAAATCAGCCTGGCAAAGACGGCTGAATAACTTGCCACGACGCTTTGCTGCAACATGTAGTGTACGACTACATGACCGCGAATAACGTTTGGCAAAGAATAAAATTTGCTCGGTTTTACGTTTTCAGGATTGTCACTCATCCATTTTGTGGGATGGCTGCACACAAATACGGCAGAATTAAGTTTTTTTTTTTTTTTAACAGATGGTGGGCGCAAAAAACGGCTGAACTTTAGTGTCGCGCAGAGGCACACATGTACGTTGCCGTAGTACTCATGGTGGCCGGAAGTAGTGCCTTCCCCGCAATGCCCGCATGCTGTGCGGATAGCCGAAGCGTAGGCTGTAGGAGCAAAGGGTTGCTCAGAGGTGAATACCACCTATAAGAAAGACCAGTGCACTTACAGCGAAGCAGAGGCTCGTGAGAAAAAAGGGAACGTGGTGCCCTGCTTATAAGAGTGTAACTAGGGAGCCTACATGAGCGCCTGTTTTAGCGTGGTGCCAGCCTTTGACCCACTACATGCCGCCAACGCTCCTTCGGCCGCCAAAACACAATGTTGCCAGATGACAATGCTGCACTATCGCACCATATTGTGGCCCGCACTGCATGTGCGTACGCCTGGCTCGATTTCATACTCGGGAATATGGCCCGGAGTCGACGTCAATACGAAGCAGTAGATGAATCAAGTGTGAAATGTGTCTGTCGGCGGCGTCCAGCATCTGCGTCAACACGAAACAGTAGATGCATCAAGTGTGAAATGTAACCGTCGGTGTTGTCCAGCGTCGGCATCAACAAATAGGATTAGATACATTAAAGTACCAGGTCGCGCACAAAAAAAAAACAACATATCCTCGAGGTGAATGATGACGAGTGGAACAAAGCGGACGGACACACGCACGAACGGATTGTCGGACGAAGAGAGACGAACGGATTGTCGGATGAAGGGAGAGACCATAGCACAGACAGACAGATGCACGGATGAAGAAACAGACAGACGGACACACATACGGACGGATGGCAAGACGAACGCACGAACAGAAAAATGCACGGACAGACCGAATGACTGACTGACTGACTGACGAACGGACAGACAGATGGACGGACGAGACATGCTAAATGCTACCGACGGTTACATTCCGCACTTGATGCACCTAAATGTTCATGTTGATGCTGACGTTGGATGACGCCACCACCAGTTACGTTTCAGCTTGATGCATGTTAAGTGTTGACGGCGACGCTGGACAACCCGACCGACGGTAAGGTTTCGAGCTTTGCAAGATACGTGTTGACGGCGACGCTGTACAACGCCACCGGCTTCGCGCTTGATGAGTCTAATATTTCGTGTTGACGCCGATGCTGAACGTTAGAAATTTTATGATCGACGTATCGAAGGATTTTGCCTTGATAAGGTTTAAGCCTGAATAGGGGCTTTTGAAAATCCACTGGATTACGAGTATCTGGGGCGGGGGGGAGGTAGGGCTGGCCACAAAATGACGGTGCACAGAAAAACTATGCTAAATTTTGCGGAAGCTGGCAAAGCGTGCCTGACAACCCGTTGATTTTGGCAGAGTTTTTTTTTTTTTTTTTCAGAGCACCTTTTGAGATGTCTCTACCCTAACAAAAGTGGTGATGTAGGCTCCCTAAGTATAACGAATGAGAACTGCTCACTGACGGTGCTCTCCAAGGAATGGAAAAAAAAAACTGACGGTGCTCTCCAAGGAATGAAAAAAAAACTGAAGATATTTTTGTAAAGTTAACAAGTTAATTTTACCTATAACTTAATGTAACTGTTTGAGGCTCATAATGAAAAACAAGCTTTTATTTGAGCAAGGCAAATGACAATATCACCACTAAAATTGGATACTATTATCTTTCGGCCCACCAGCAGGACTGCACTTTGGTTCTGTAGCTTCCACAGCATTTCCAAGACAAGTTTTCCTTGAATGCAGTAGCGTCTGGTGATGTCAACTCAACCAGTAGGCACATCAAAGATAAAACCATAGTAACCTGCCTTTTCTATACATAACTTGTGTTGACGTTAGGGGGACGCAGGGGGCGCCGACCAGTGCGGACGCGAGAAGATTGGCTCCCGTTTCTGTTAACGTTTTCGTTAGGATTTTTGTGGTGCCTGTGCTCGAGCTGTGTTTCATTCGACGCAGTTTCTCCTGAGGATCACGTCGATACCAGACTTTTTTCGGTGAGTGGTCCTTTTGCCGAATTATCGGAACTTTTCTTGTGGAACGCGTCGCGGCTCGGCTAACCCTACCGGGCTCAGCCTAGCGTCGACGGCGAGGAGCGGGAGAAAAGGGGCAACATGCCTGAAGTAGAGATGGTGGAAGGAGAGGAAATCTCTCACGAAGAAGCCAATCGCCCGGGTTGGACGACAGCGCTGGGCAGGAACAAGAAAGCTCATGTAGAAACGCCAGTTTCCGCGGGCAACGCCTCACATGTGGGCTCGAAGGGAGGCCACCGCACGGCAGCCCCGCAAGGTGCAATGAAGCGCCTCGCAGCTGCATCGAGGCTCCCCCGGCTGACGAGGGACCACATACGAATTATCGTCAGGCCGAGGGACGGACTTGACGTCGGAAAAGTAAGCCAAATTAGGCTCGCACAGGCTATTGTCATGGCGGCTGCTCTTGCCCCGGCAGAGACGGAAGGGGACATCGTTTGCCCAAACATCGCCCAGAACATTCTCGTAGTTTCCACACCGGAGAAGAAGAACGCAAACGCCTACGCCGCGATCCAACAGATTCGGATAAGCGAAGGAGTGTACCATATGGCGGCATATGTCGCGGCCCCCGATAACACCTGTAAAGGAGTCATACGAGGAGTGGACACTGACATCAGCGAGGCCCAGCTCCAAACGATGATCGTCAACCAGCGAAATCCGAAGGCCCTAGAAGCCAAAAGGATCAAGAACACCACCACTGTGGTAGTGCTTTTCGACGGCATGAAGGTACCAAACTATGTCATATGCGGCGTCAGCATGCTGCGCTGCACGCTCTACAAGCACCAAACCGACGTGTGCTACGCGTGTGGAGGACTTGGTCACAGGGCCGATGTTTGCCCCAACCCCAACAAGAGGGTGTGCAGGGGCTGTGGGCTCGTGTCTCCACCCAACGATCACCAGTGCTCGCCGAAATGTGCCCTTTGCGGAGGCCCACATCCGATGGCGGACAGAATGTGCAAACAACGCTTTCAGGTTCCTTACGTCGTGTGACGGAGAAGACGACGGCGCCGAAAGCGCGTCAAAAAGTCTCAGCAACAGCTGGCCGAAGAGGACCGGTCAAGGGATTCCAGCGTGGCAAGTGCTCCCAGGCAGGGGCGTTCCATCACGCCGGCTCGCCGCCGGCGCGACCGCTCCAGGGGCCGCGCTCGCACCAAAGGGCGCTCTTGCTCCCGGGCACGAATCCAGGAAGTACCTACCTGGGCGGATCAAGCCAAGCCGAAGCCAGCGGCGCCGCCACCAGAGGTAACGCAGGTACCATTGCCAGAGCATAGGGAAGACCCCAGGGTAGCTAAGTTGATCCAAGAGAATGCTTGCCTTAAGGCAGAGATTCAACAGCTGAGGGCTGACCTTGAGTCGTTCCGCAAACATTACTCCTCGCAGGGTGAGAGACAACAGATTCCCCCACCAGGGGACGTGCAGGCCCGCTCGGGAAAACGTGGGGCCTCACCCCCCCCCCCCAAGGGGAGTGGGATACTATGGAGACAGAATCCAACAGCAAGGCTCTGGAAAGCATGCAGCAATCGATTAAACAACTGGCTGATAGCATGACTACCCTACTGAAAAGGGTGTCGTCTC